CATAGGGACCACGGTTCAATCCCCCAGCACCACATGCCAGCCCTGCCCCCTGGTGGGCTGAGCTGGCCACACACACACACACACACACACACACATAAATAAAATTTTTTAAAAAAGAAATATTTTTAAAAAATATGTATCAATCTGTCAGCCATTGTCTGTGCCACGTAGGAAAGCACCTGGGGAAGCATTAAGAAAGTATTGATGGAGGTTTGTTGTTGTTGAGCATTTACAGTCTGATCCTTCTGGAATTAGAATAAGGCTAAGAGGAGTACAGGCTTTCGTTTGAGGCAAACATGGGGCTGTGTACTGCATGTGTTTTACTGAAATTGTTGTGTCATCTTGGGTAAAGATTTGCGGCTGTTGTGATTGTTTTAAAGGGACAGTCATAGGAAGATTTTTCGTGGATTATTACAGTTGATGCCTTTGTGGAAAGTGTGGGAGGGAGCGGAAAGGGACCTACATCCCAGCACGCTATTAGACATACAGTCTGCTCTCTTGTCCTTGCCACTTGAGATATTAACATGTAAACGTAGGCTCAGAGTGGACTTCGCGTGGTTGCTGGGGAGGGGTGTGAGTCCTCGGAGCAGGGAGCAGCCCCCACGCAGTGCAAGGAATGAGTGCCCCGCCCCAGCCACCCCAACCCCAGCCCTCACCCCAAGCTCCACCTCCAACGTGGGCCGGGTAGGAAGTGCGGGGGCGCCCCCTAGCGGGGAGGGCGCGCTGCCGCCTGCGCCTGTGCCGTCTGTCTGCCCCGCCCGTCTCCCATTCCGCCAGACGCCTTGACCGTGACCGCGACGCCCCTTTGGAGAGGCTCCCAGCGCCCGGCTGCCTCCCTGGTGAGGACATCAGGGCGTGCAGCAGCAGGAGGGAGGCGGGAGCAGCCCTTCACTCGCGGCGCGTTGGCGAACTTCGGGGTGTGGCGCTGCTCTCCGTGGTGGGCTGTACGGGATGCCTCGGGGTCCCCAGCCGGGGGCTCGCGGGGGTGCGCGGGTGACTGAGGTGATCCCGGGTGAGTGCGGGCCGCCCAGGGAGGGAGGAAGGAGGAAGGAGGGGCCTTGGCCTGTCACCCGCTGTCCACGCCTTCCCTTCTTGACAAGCGACGCAGCACCCCAGCCAGGTGGGGACCACGGGATGTGGGCCGCGGAGCGCACATTGCCCTGCCGGCCTGCGCACGCCGCTCGCAGCAGTGGCAGGACCTGCCACCAGCCGCGCAGCGTGTCCTGCTGGGAGCCGGGACACCAGGGAGCAGCACCACCCGCGGGACCCTCTGTGATCTGCCTGAACAAACGAAAGGAAACACAAGCAGTGGTCCCAAATTAAACAGAAATTAGTGATCCCTCAGAACAGTTGAGAAAACATATGGTTTGGTTTGTTGTGTTCTGTGGCTGCGAACTAATTTTGAAGCAGTTTTGAAAGCAGTCTTTAAAGAACTGCTTACCGGAAGGACTTTTAATTTAGGATGGCCTGAAAACAGCGAACTTCATCTGGAAGCTAGATTCGTGGTGTGTGGATTGCCGTCAAACAGACTGCCCTGCACTGAAATTTCTTAGTCTAGGGGAACTAAAATTTTATGAGGAGAAGCTCCCTCAGAAACCTAAGCATATGCCGGACATGGTAGCCCACAACTATAATCCCAACATTTGGAAGGCTGAGGCAGGAGAATCACTTTGAGATTGAGGCCAGCCTGAGCTACATAGTGAGTTCAGGCCAGCCTGAATTGTGTAAGGAAACTGTGTCTCAAAAAAAAAAAAAAAAAAAAATTAATATCACTATCTGAAAGGTTACTTGACACTATTGAAACTTAAGAGTCCAAGGCAATTTCTCCTTTTAAAATGTTGCTTATTGGGCTGGAGAGATAGCTCAGCATTCTAAGCGCTTGCCTGGCAAGCAGAAGGACCGAAGATCAGTTCCCAATACCCCGTGCAGTGCTGGTCTCAGAATCCTTGGGTGTGCCATGCAGTTCTTGAAACTCAGCATGGTGGTATGCACCTGTAATCCCAGGGCTGGGGAAGCTGAAGCAGGAGGATCATTTCTAGTCCCAACTGCATAGTGAGACCCTGTATCAAACAATTAATTAAAAATTTTTAAATGGGGCTGGTGAGATGGCTCGGTGGTCTAAAGCACCTACTTAGAACAAGCTAAGC